TTGTTGTAAAGTGCCATTTTGACAAGATGATTAGTAAGAGGGCAAGGAACACAGTGCTTGGTACATTGTAGGACCTTAATAAATGTTTCTTTTCTTCCTTCCTTCCTTCCTTCCTTCCTTCCTTCCTTCCTTCCTTCCTTCCTTCCTTCCTTCCTTTCTTTCTTTCTTTTCTTTTTTTGGTCTTTTTGTGTCAGGGTCTCCCTGTAGCCCCAGCTGTCCTGGAACTCACTATGTAGACCAGGCTGGCCTTGAACTCACAGAGATCCGCCTGCCTCTGCCTTCCAAGTGCTGGGTTTAAAGGCATGCATCAAAATGTTTCTTGAATGATCTTTCATTCAAGGGCTGTTACAGCTCTGAAAAGCTACGAAGATGTCTAGCATTTGAATCTTAGAAGGCACTCTGAGCCTCCATGTATTCGCCTGGCCCCTCTCTATCTTCTTGTTGTTCTTCTGTGTGGCTGTCTTACCATCTCCCATCTGACCTCCTCTCAGTTCCCTCTGCCCACACTGGAGCCTGGATGTGGCCCATGAGGATGAAGCATTCATTCTCCAGGCTTACTCCACTGACATGGCCACTTATCCCTCTTCTAGAAACACTGGTGCAATCGATGGTCAAAAACCTTGAGAAGCAGCTTGAAACTCCAGCAAAGAAGCCTGCTGGAGGAGTCAGTGTGTTCTTAAGGCCCAACATTGCCCTGCAGATGTCTTCCGTGCCAGGAAGGAAGCCTCAGGTAAGATGCTTGGAGATGGCCCTGTGTTTTATACAGAATCAGCTCCAAATCTGAGGGTTCTGTGGTTAGGGCTGGGAGAAGACCAAACAGGTATCAGCTTCGACATGTCTTGAGCAGGTGGCGTCATCTCCTTTGTTTCTAAACGTGGAGAGAATGCCTTTTTTTAATTAAAATTTTTTTCTCATTTGTTTTTGAGTGTGTAGCCTGCATGTATATAAGTGCACCTGTGTTGTGCAATGCCAGCAGAGGCCAGAGGTTGTCAGATCCCCTAGAAAGGGAGATAATGGACAGTTAGCTGCCATGTAGGTGCTGGGAACTTAACCTAGGTCCTCTGCAAGAACATCCTGTACTCTTAACCTCTGAGCCATCTCTGCAGCCCCTACTTTGGAATTCTTTCTGTGCCCATGTTTATTATAAGCAGCTGCTCAGAAGGTTTAAATTTCAGTCTCCTACCTTTGAGAGCCTGGCGAGTGCGTCTTTCTCCTGTGTCTGCTCCCGTCCTGTTCTGTCTCTTTCACGGTGGGCCCCTCCCCAGTCCTTCTCAGAGGACCCTAACCCAAGGTTGCACCACCAACCAAGAGCAGGCATTAGCCTGGCACCACACAGCACATCAGATGGAGAAATTAGACAGCTTCATTCTAACTGTTCAAGGCAGTGCCTCATCACTGAGTGACTTCATGACTTCATCACTGAGTGGCTTCGTGGCCTGGCCTCTCTCAGGCTGTAGCTGTAGCTACCATCGGATTCAGAGTTAGCGCTCCCTTTACAGCCCCACCCCCCGCCCCAGTCAGGGACCAACTGCTACCTCCTGTTATTTTCTGAAGTGAAAATAGAGAAAATTCTCTTTAGTTTACATGCTCCTTTCAGCCAAAAAGGTGCATTGGAAGTGATTAAATAAAATTCACTAGTAGTGGGCAATTGTTTTTTCAGTGCTGGTGCTGGAACCCAGGGCCTCTTATGTGCTAAACAAAGACTCTATCACTGAGCTATATCCCCAACCCCCATTTATCCTTGTTACTCTAAAATGCTCCAAATTTGAGGAAGGAAATGGTTGTACTAATTCAAGAAGCTCAACAAACAAGTAGAATAAAGCCACAGACCCATTATGAGACATTATAATCAAATTATTAACAGTTCAAAACAGAATCCTAGAAGCAGCAAGATAAAAATCAGTATGTGGACGGTCTTCAAAAAAAAAAGAAAGAGAACAGAGTTAAAGGCGACCAGAAGGAGTTTATTGCAGTGTAAAGACCTCAGAAACCTCAGACTTGGTGTATGGGGAATGAGAAGGCATTCTCTTACCCCGGGGATGCCATGCTGCTGTGAATGAGGGCCTTTTGAATGTTTTGTCCACGCAGTATCATCTGGATTATCAGTGGGGGAACATGTACAGTGCTTGGGTAACAGTGACATTTTGAGGAGCTCTAGCTAAACTTTGTTTCTCTCTCTCTCTCTCTCTCTCTCTCTCTCTCTCTGGGGAATGTGTGTGGTACATGTATGTGGGTGGCTGTATTTGCCCATGTGTGCACATGCAGAGGTCAGCACAGGACTTCAGGTTCCCCCTACACTGACCTCTGCCTTATTGCTTTGAGACAGTCTGTCACTGAACTGGAAGCTCTACCAGTTTTGGAGCTTCCTGGATCCCTCTGTCTCCACTCCCCAATGCTGGGCTAACAGGCATGTTCAGCCATGCCTGGATTTTTTTTTTTTGTGAGTGCTGGAGATTTAACTCAGATTCTTAGACTTGCAGAATAAATACTTACTCATCAAGCCATCTCCCCAACCCCTAAACTTTATTTTCTATAGAAATTCTGTTAGATTATACTTTAAGTCTGACCTGATTTATCATTTTATCCCCAGAGCGCACCATCCATGTTGGTGATTCAACTCAGATGGGATGTTTTTTCCAGAGCACAGAAGAGAGATGCGTTTTTATTGAATTTTTGTGTATTTCATACAGAACTTTTTTTTTTTTTTAAATGGAAAAAAGTTTATTTTGGCTTAGGGTTCCAGAGGAATCAGAGTCCATCATGGCAGGGAGGCCTGGCTGCAGGGAGTAGGAAGAGGAGTCACATCTTTAACCACAAATTTGAAGTACAGAAAGCAAACTAGAAGTGGGATGAGGCTGTGAACTCTCAAAGACCACCCACAGGGACACACTTCCTCCAGCAAGGCTACGCTTCCTAAAGATTCCATGACCTCCCCATCAGTGCCACCAACTGGGGACAACATTCTCATTCAAACCACCACATTCCACTCCCTGGCCCTCAGAGGTTCATGGTCATGTCATAATGCAAAATGCACTTAGTCCAACTTTAAAAGTCCTCATATTTTTCCGTATAGAACATCTTAATCATCTTTGTGCCCCCTTCCCCATTGACTCCCTCCCATAGCCCCCCCCACTTGAATTCATACATTCTGTCATTTCTGTTAAGGTCTATCATGTCAAGTTAATGTCCCCAGATGTTCCTCAGTGCAAATTAATCTACTGAGGCCTAGTCAGCTTATCTAGAGCCCCTCCCTTGGGCTGTAGAAATGCCTTAGGGATTAAGAGCCATCTGGCTGTTCTTGCAGAAGACCCAGGTTCAAATCCCAGCACCCACATAGCAGCTAACAACTGCCTGTAACTCCAGTTCCAGGGTATCCGACATCCTCTTCTGTCCTCCAAGGGAATTGCGTGACACAGGTGCATTTACATGCATGCAGGCATAGCACTCATACATAAAATAAAAATAAAGCAAAAATAAAGAGTCCTCCCTTTAAGAAGATGAGCTCTTCCTCACCCAACAGTCCTCAGCTGCCAATAATTCTTTGGCTAAGGTTGGGGCCTGCTGTCCATTTCCACAGTTCTGTGCTGGGTTTCTGTCTGCTTGAGTTTGCATGGGTCTTGTGCATGCTGACACCATTGCTGTAGGTTTCTATGAGTCTCTAAGATCTATGACCTCTTCAGCTATGTGTATTTGGCTAGGTTTACAGCACTGCACATGAGTTTGTTCCCATGGAGTGGGCTTTAAGTCCAACTAGGTGGCTGCTGATTACCCCCAAGATAAAAGTGCCACTACTGCACCAATGTCATTTGCTGTGCTGGTCATTGATGTGGTTTTTAGGCCTTGTAGCTGGGGTTGGACCATTGATTGATGTTCTCCCTTACCAGCTTGCATAGTGCTCTTCAGGGGAGGTGGCGTCCAGGTCAGTTCCAGCTCCATTGCTCCAAATCCTGTCAGCCCCTCATTTTTATTTTGTAATACAAAATGATGGAAGTGCTTCCTAGGTCCTGGATGGTATCTCCTCACACACACACACACACACACACACACACACGCACACACACAAATGCATAGAATGGCTTATATCAAAGCCCAGATGGCTAGCAGAGATGCAGAGAACTCTGGAGGGGAACTTCTGGCTTGGGCTGTTACTTTGGTCTGGATGTAGTGTGGTCCCTTGGCAGACTCTAGGTCTCCCATTGACTTCAGCCCAGACCCATTCCAGGCTGAAGGTCCTGATGCTTCCCAGATCCTTTCATGTTTAGTGTTTACCAGGCAACTGAGCACTAGCCCAAGAGCAGGGGGACCTTTAGATCAAGGTGCATTCATCTTAAGAGCTTGAAAAGTTCAAGACTTTTGGTTTCCAGTTCTGTCAATGTGAGTTGTTAAAACTCTGCATATAACATTACCTTGTTTACCTTTTAGTTACATATTGTGTTGGTTCACCGTGGAGCTCACAAAAAGATCAAGTTTTCCCTAGTTCCCTATTGTGAAATCAACAGTATTAAACAGGTGATGCTCTGAGCACGTGTGCTGCTGTGTTTAAATGCAGACATCGGCAACCAGATCTACACATAAACCTCTCCAAGGTTCTCGCCTTGGCCTTGCTAGTAGGATACTAGAAGCCTTTAGACCACTCTTGCTCTGGATCTCTGGAGCAGGTTTTCAGAGGCAGGGAGCTTGGAAGGCAGGAAGAGTCATCTCTTCCATTTGCTTTCCTCTGAATCAGCCCTTTTTCTGTCTTGGGTGGTGCTGAACTCTGATACTTTCTACATTTATCAAAATGTGTTCTCTCCTCTTTCATCCCTGCAGCTTTCTGAAGATGAGAGTGACTTAGAGATCTCTTCCCTGGAAGATCTCTCAAAGGACCTGGACCAGAAGGAGAAGCCAAAGCCCTTGTCCTGCTCAAAACTCCCAGAAGTTTGATGATGCTTCTTGGAGTTCTGGTCGACCCAGGGTTCCTGACTGGTGATCCTGTTCAGGGTTGCCAGAGGGCTTAGCCTTGTTACCTGGGTGGGGCCAGCGTGAGCTTCATTCCAACAGAAGAGGCTGACAGGTGTCTTGCCTTCCCCAGGAGCCAAATAAACTTCCCCTTGAGACAAGCAAAGCAGCAGACAGATACGCTTTTGTAGGCGCATGGACCTCAGAGCGCCAGCTGCTGGCTGGCGCCGGGCCTTGCTGCGCTGTGGCGGGTGCGCGCCGCCTTGCTGTGCTGATCCCTGGCTCTCCGCGGCTACCGAAGCTGGCTCCTCTGGTGGGACGCTATCAGCTGCCGGGTGAGGTTCCGTTCCAGTCTCAGGCGGTTGCTCCCTCTAAGTTTCGCGATCCGTTGGCCACCGGATTGCGAGGGGAGGTGCAGGAACGGCGAAAGCAAGACCTTCGCGAGCAGTTGATGGAAGGAAAGCCCCCCCCCCCCCCGAGATTAAATCACAGGATTCAGTGTTACAGCTCAGATCTCAGTGATTCAGCTCCGATTTATTAAGGGGAAAACTAGGATATTTATAGTGTGGAGGTAGTAGCAAAAGCTTTAGCTGATAGGTGTTTTGTAGGATGCCCTATTTACATGTGGTGGTGGGCTTCTGCCAGGCTGTCAGACAGTGCCTGATTATCACACAGGAAAACTTGGCAGTTCCTATGCCAGAGGCCATGTATCTGTGACAGCTACTTCAAAGATGAGTCAGGAAGAGAGTAGGAAGGCGCCCTGCTGAGAGAAGGAGTCTCTGCATATGAACGCCGAGCCGGCCTGCGGCTATCCGGACATGGAGAGACTTCGACTTAACACAGCAGGGGTCCCCAACATGCTTTCCCTTCTCCCTGCAATGTCTCCCACAGCCTAGGTGCTTGGTGGAGTGACCTGTGTCCCAGTGCTTAAGAGAAAAGTTAGAACAAGACCTCCAAATGTTTCTTCCATGGTTCCTATGTCCAGCCCAAACCTGCAGGTCACTGTGGAGTAGGTAATATATCAGTTACTGTCTTAGTTTGTTCTTCATTGCTGTGACAAAATACTCTGACCAATACCAACT